AATAATTGTATACAGTCTACCTCTGGAGAGGTCAATAATCGTATACAGTCTACCTCTAAGAGGTCAATAATTGTATACAGTCTACCGCTGGAGAGGTCAGTAATTGTATACAGTCTACCTCTGGAGAGGTCAATAATTGTATATACTCTACATCTGGTTGAAAATACCAGACATCAAAAAAGGCATGCATAACAATGGAGGTCCTGGTCAACTTACTCTGCTAGATCCGTAAGCCATGTTTACTTCCTCACTTCAACCCCTTTAAATTCTTAGTTATGTTTACATCCAAAACCAGAGGCATCAGGTACACTTATAAATCTCCATCTTTCAATGTATCCTAATTGGGCATTGTTAAAAAACATATTCCAAAATAACACTTGTGCCTTGGGTACATCCAAGTGCATGTACATTATATATCATCTCAATCAAGGTAGCTCACCAACCACTTTTTTTGATTTTGTTTTCCAAATATATTTTACCACTCGATGTGCACTTTTTCATTTTATCCTTATTATACACTTTTATAACACTGCATGTGTAATATTAATGCAGGCTTCAGCTACCAGTGGTTGATGTCCAGGTGTACTTTATATCTGCCTCATTAACAGTCAAACCTCAAATCAAATATATTTGGTAAGAACTTTGCTTTCCAGGCATTAAATGTTTAATTATTCATTTAATTCTTGTAACAAGAATTGATATTGTCACATGATAGTCATATTCATATATCCGAATGTGACTTTAAAACATGTCTCATATTCGTATCATGGTTGATGAATATTTCATATTTCACAAGCATGCTGCATCTATCACGCCTTGTATTTCCTCTTGGTGTAAACAATATATCCATCAGGCTACATTTTTATAGCTCTCAAGTCATGAGCAGAAACTCTACCAGTGATAACAACTCAGCCTGCTGGATGCATAGTAAAAAACTAATTTGTCGAGTTCTGAAGTTTTTTATGTGTTAACATGGAGCCGGGAACTCTAATGACCAGAGATTCAATGCCATGTTAATATACAACTATCAACTCTATACCACTTAGGACAACGAGATCAATAAATTGTCGAGACAAAAATCGTAGATATAAATTTCATCAGGCACTGTCTAATTAGAAATTATCGCATCTGGATTAATTAAAGAACAATGGCTATTAGAATCAAGATGAGTTTGCATAACTTGAACAATGTTAAGCCAATCAGATGAAGGATTGATTATTCATATTATATACGATGATAGCCTCTCTTTGTGAAAATGTGTGTATATCGTTGAATCACTTTGATTTATTGTTTTTACCACAATTAGCTTTTTTATTTTATGCCTCGATAATTTCCATGTTGATAACCCTTAGAAATATACCAAAACAGTTCATTGCAAAAATAACAATTTTACACCAATTAAATTCTAAAAATTCTAAATTTACCAGAATTGTATAAACACGGAACATACAGTACTTAGAAGTGGCAGCGAAAAGAATTATCAACAAAAATGTGTGTGATCAATGAAATATGCAAGATTCGGAAGACCGGTTAATTTTTATGATAAAAGCAACATACCAACTTCTACTATGAAGCACACTTGGCAATATCTAGGCCCAGTCCACCATTGCATTCCCCATGAACCTTTATGCATGAAGATCAAATGTTCACATGACAAGCCCTAACTTAATTTAGAGAAATCCAGATTTCATAGTACTTCCTTCAAATGTTTGGTCAATACTCAATTTTCTCACAGAGGTCCTATTTTCATATAAAACTTAAATTTTCGATATAATACAGTACATAAATAGAAAACATCTAATTTTTGCAGACATGCAAATATGAATGTCCATCAAAAGAAGCCATAGGGACATTTATATTGGCCTGATATTATTAACATTAAAATTCAAGGATTATAGGGAATGCTGAAGTGGCAGAGAGAATATTTTTACATTTATATTATGCTTTCCTCATGAGAATAAGGGTCATTTTTTGGGGGGGGGGGGGGGGAGGGGAGGGGGGTTGGGGAGATACAATTGTTATGAGTCATATTTCACTATATTGCCCTTCGAAATGACGTTATTGTACTAATACCCAGTCTTATTACTGCACCAGGCAATAACATTGTGAAGATCACCCTCCCCCAATGACTTACATAAAGCAAAAAATAGATAATGTGGAATTGATCAGAGCATTGATGCTCAGTATAATCAGACATGATGCAAATACAACCCAGACTTGATGAAAGCCAAATCAAATGTTTTGCCTGTTTAATTGATTTCTCTAAAATTCCTCTCTATTTCCTGGTTCATTGTCCCCTATGTCTCTTAACTACAGTTCAAGCAATACACTTTAAGATCACTGGATAACGAGGCTGTCGTATTCGCTGTTCAACGCCATATGGATTCTTTAATGTCATTATGCACTGTGCTATTTTACGCAATATTAATTTTAAAAACATCTTCCCTTGCACAATTTTCTTCATCAATATAAATTTTATTTATGTTTTTCCAGTAAATACATAGACTTGACATTCAATATATGAAATGAATTATACTAAATAAATAAATTAACAACCTCGTATAGAAATAATCTGTATTTACAAAACATCATAAAACAGAATCGTACAACTCTAAGCAAGAGATGTAATGTTATTATATTATCTTCATACATCAAAGCATACAACCTTACAGTCTTAAGACACACAATAAATCTAACTTAAATAAAAAACAAAGGCAATCCTAGTAGTTTCCAGGAAACATGAATTCAACAAGAATTAGACAAAGAAAAGATTTTCAGAAACATATACACTGTACATATACAGTAAAACCTGTGTATATTTAACATTTTTTGCCGAGAAAAAAATGTTCAGTGTAGGTAGTTGTTCAATACAGAGAGGGTAATTTATACAGAAGTCAGTAGAGTATGTGCAGAGGAAGGGTGTCACTAGAAAAAGTGGCGAGTGTTGAAAGGAACTTCGGTTGAATAAAGCTTATCATGATTGGTCCAATATAACTTAACGAGAACAATCTAACCTTATTCACAGAGAAAGTCCCTTAGGGTGTTACAAAAATTCATGAACATCAATGAAATGTCAATATAAGTTGAGGACACAGTAGCATGATATCCTGATGGAATGAAAATGATTTGGCCAAAAAGACCAATTATTCCACCATAACAAAAAATCTGAAAAAGCCTTATCCATAGGGGAAACTCTTTGATGAGTGCTATGGAAACACTAGCTTTACATTTTCCAATTGATCCTCTCATTGTTTCTGTTGAAAATTCATATTTGGTATGTTATATATTTAATAAAAAAAAGGGTGACTTCAAATTTTTGAGGAAATCATGCAAAAAGGTGTCGGCTTGACTGAGGCCTCCAGAATATCAGTGGACAGTGTATTCCCTCTGTGAAAAAGGTTTGCACTATTTCTCTCAAAGGCAGACACTAGTTACATAAATTAAGGGAGAATATTTGAGACAATTCCTCAGGCCAGGCTTTTAAAAAAATTCATGAACAACAATAAAATCTCAATCTCAGTCTCGTGAATAGATACAGGAAAACATGTCAAATTTAGGTGACCGTGTTTCGGACTGTTGTTTTACTGCCAATTAAATGCCTATCATATCTGAGTCATGTTCCGCTCATCAATCATGAAACGATTACCTTGGATAGGTAGGATTATAAATACTACAATTACTACAAGATATAAAGAAATCAGAATAAAGATGCTAGAAATTGATACGTTAGGATGGTAATGCAGTCTAGAGCACATTCCACAAAAACATGGCAAACTATAGATAATTAGCTCGAGTTACATGCAAACTCATATATTGCTTGACTGTCATAAAGACTGTAGCATGAAAAATATGCTTTTTACACGAAACCAATGACAAAACACACCTGAAAAAACTTAGCTTTTCACAGACTAATTGGTATTTACAACATTTTAATGACTGGTGAAATGAACTGCCTCTAAAAAGGACATCTAAGGTCATACAATATTGCCAATGGGTACGTGCCCTAGAAATGTACCCTTATGCCATCTATTAACTTCATGTCCATATACTTTTACACAGTAGGGTATTCTATTTCTGTCAAAATAGTAAAAGTTATGGTGAAATACAGCTTTGAAACAGATATTAATGTGTGCATATTTTGAGTATGTATTCTTGGGAGTTTTAGAAAAAAAGAGATGACTATCAATTTGTTTCATGAATAAAGTCTCATAAATCTTTTAAATTTTAGCAGACTGGCTGCATGTACAGTTATTGAACTCAATATGAATAGCCTTAATATCACATGGATATTGATACACGCAAATAGATGACACTTCAGCGCAAATTAAGCCACTCTGTGCTTCAAACTGACAACCCTAAAACAAGTCCCCTTAATATATGGTCTTCCAATGTCATTTCTTTCAGTCACTTGAAAGACCTTCATTGATCAAGATGAACACATAACATTGGTTGCATGCTAATATGCTTAAAGGATGGAGATTCTTTATCAGATTGCCTAATACATATATTCTAGTACAACATTTTTCTAGTTACACCTTTACCATATACATGTATTTCTAGTCAAACCTGTGCAACATTTTTTTTGCGCAACAATGTGAAAAAATGCTTTTTTATGTGTACAATTTAAAGTGCTAATAATAGAGTGTAAAAAGACCGATATGTCCATCACAGCAAAATGACTAAATAAAAAAATGATGCATAATGTACCATGTATCATCTGGGAGAAAATCTGCAGATGAAGTGAGGTCAATTTGATTGATTCCAAATATTCCAAATCACATTTTAGGTTGAATAATGACAGACAGTCAGCGGGGCAGTTGACTGCCAAAGAGCCCAAAATGAATGTGAACATAATAGGATCAACTCTGGGGATGAGTTTGATAAATCTGTTAGGGCAGTGGGTATATTGTCTAAAGGAGGTCAATACCATGGTTACCCGAGGTATAGCTCTTCTAAACCGATACTAAAAAAATGGTGCAGTTGAAGATAATATTTCTTACCTGTGCTACTGACTCGAAGTGTTCATGACTTTTCTTTAATGCTATTGCACGTTGTAATGACCGCCCAATCTGTGTGTTTTTCTCCACAAATATATCCCCGTGATTGTCCAGCCAATAGATAACCTAGAAAACAAGGATTTTGTGGTCATATGATTGTAATATATCTTTATTATGAAAGAGAAAAAACTATTTACCAAGGACAGCTATTGGATACACATGGTCTATTTGATATACAATTGAATATGAACTTTATTATCAGTATGTTATCAGTATACAAGAAGGGGTGTCGACTTTTGTCAAGCAACCGAAGATACCTCAAGAAAATCCGGAGATTGCAGAAGATTGCCGAAGGTTTTCTTTGCAAACGAAATTGGCCGAGGGTACCACGAATGTGAAGAGGACGTCTCTAATTGGTCAAAAATAGAGGCTCGGCATTCTCCGTCAGATTGAATCGGCAACATTCGGTTGTATAGCTTACCTTCGGTTGTATGGTTTACCTTTGGCTGCATGGCCCAACCTCGATTGAATGGAAAAGATGCTGTCCCATACAAGAAGTTATGTTACATCAATAAGTTATCTTTTATATTTGAACCTTTCAACTTAAATAAGTACCTGTTTTACATCCTGCTGGAACAATCTTAGGCCAAGCCTTTGATGAAGTTGGACCTTCTTTGCGTGAAGAGTCTGCTCTAGTTTCCTATGCTCAGATAGAACCTAAACAAAATTTATAGAAAACATTAATTGATGTACAGCTAGAGACATCTATAGATTTTGAAAATGTCATTTTTATCATTTCGAAGATTATCAGTAGATCAGTACATGTCTGGCTAGTTACTATTATATGATATTTAGAAAACTGACAAAAATCATTTAATTTTTGTTTTCTTGACAAGTGAATTGAGATTAAACCTTAAGATTGTGATCCTGAGAAGAATAATCACTTTTCAAAGATTATTTAACATTGTGTCAATTGAGATTTAGCTCATTGTCTTTTACTAACCTCATGTATAGTATCCAGTATATTAGCTGCACTCTGGCTGTAGTCTGTATTTGTGATTAAAGTATTAGATGGATCTGTCTTTACTGGAGTCTGTAAGGTTTCAAGCAACTTCTTTCCATCTCCACACACCTTGAAAAACAAATGTAGATTTGAATTATTGAACTGTGCCTGTATTCATTTGAGATTGTGTGGTGAGATTGATATTAAAATCTATTGATGGGTGCGTATTAGTAGATTTCTTTTGTCAAATTTTGAATATTTTGATTCCTCATTTCTTATACTGGGATTTTGTGATAATTTATTGAATACAGTATCATTGTTATCAACTTTATTTTAGATGAACTACAATCTATGAAGAGTATTAAGAAATCAGTCAATTGCTAGTCAAAAGAATACATGATGGCATAATGAGCTTGTACCTCTGTGTAACGTGATCCTATAGTTTCCATGAGATTCTGGTGTTTCTGTATTACTTCTTCCAATTCAGAAATTCCCTCTGGTACCTCAAGTTCCCCACACTGAGCCTCCCAGTAGGGGACATCTGAGGTGTACTAAAACATAAAAAAAATTAGGGAAATAGAATTCAAGTGTATTTTACAGCACACAAATTTGACAAAAAAGATTCTCACCACATAAGTAATAAAACTTGGTTTTACCTCATAATAGTATACACAGCATACACATTAAGAAAATATTATGAAGATTTTTATTTATGAACATACCTGCTCGGCTTTCTTATGGAAGCCAACAGAGAGAGCTATGATTGTATTTCTGTCATCTAGGGCAGCAGCTAGGTTTTTCCACTCCTTGTCTATGGTGTTAGCTTTTAGTCTTATAGTATGTGCAGCGTAATGACCAGCATCACTCAGTCGTTGCGCTACTGAGATTGTACGATTGATATTGGTATATGTGTTCTGGAAACGAAATGTTGAAAAGTAGATGATTTTTTGGGTGAAGCCAACTAAATACCTCCCATTTATTCATTTGAAAACTTAGTTTTGTGACTGAAGATTTATCTGTAAAATTTTGGTTAGGTATTAACCTGGAGGTCATAAAACTTCATAAAGTTAAGAATTCATAAATCAATTATTGTAACCATGGATATCATGATGTCACAGTTGGAGAACAATGGATTTTACGAATTCTTAACTTCACGAAGTTTCTGTTAATGGCCCCCTGGTTGTCATCAGTGTATATATATCTAAATTGAAATGATAATTTGGGTCTAACCTTTTGCTAAAATTAGTGTAATAACCTCAGTGTTATGACTTGACTTTTACCCTAAAATTTCCTGCATGATTTGAAATTATTTCCAGCATGTATGTCAACGAGGAGCAAAATCATGACATTATGGTTTGACCCCTGTAAAATTTAGTACCAATGGAAAGCAAAGACAACTGTCAGTAACATATGATATACATGGCAATAACATGCAAAATGTCACCATCTGCCACTACATGTGTTACAGATGCAGACTGCTGAACACCAATCGCCAAATACCGTCCACAAAAAAGTTTGAGACAGTAACAATGTCACAACTTGTGGTGATGACATAATAGTTTAGTTTAGTTAATTGATTTATTTATACGTCGTAGTAGTCAGTCTTACAATTCAATTATAAAATATAAAAAATTAATTACAATTTTACTCAGCCCACATTGGGCTTATTAACCACTGTTAACAATAACTAGTTACAAAACAGGTAAGGTGTTGTAACCACAGAAATAAGTATGGGATAGGTATCCTTACCATGCATTGTATGGCAAATTGTGTGTGCTCAGTCTGCAGTTCCTCAGCTAAGTGATGGGAGGTCCCAATCTCTGTGTTATTGACTAGAAATAATTCTTTATTGTGAGATAACCATTCAAGCACCTGCAAGAACAAATCATGGAGGATCAGGAGTAAGAAAAATGCATGTAAATACAAAAACACAAAAACCTGCTTAAATTCATTTTATTTGTCATTAAAATGCTAGCCATAAAATCAGACAAGGCAATGGAATACAGGGAGTTGACATAGGTGAGACAAGTCAAAAACTAGCTCTCTATGAAGATGACACCAAGTTGACTATTAATGTTGTTATACATCATGACAAAAACCATTGGATATATTTGAAGATTTTAGACTCATATCAGCTGTAACATGCCTAACCATCGTCACTGTACAGCATCAAAAAATAGCAGAGTACAGTTTTCTGTACGGTGATGCAAACTGACTGCTTTGAAGCAAAAACTATGACAAGGGTTTTAAAAAAATTAATTTGATGAAAACAAATACGATTTTATGTGAAATAAAAACAGCATTCTCTTAGAAATGGTTTTAACTTTCTAATTATGATAAACGTTTTACGAGCACTGTTCGGATTTTCTCTGAGTGAATCGGCCCACATAATCGACCCAAGTGAAAAGGGTTGTTTCTTCACATTTCGTTTGGTTATTATTTTCTCTGCCGTCTGAGATTATGGATTATTTTTATGAGAACAGGCGAACAGGCGAAGATTCAGCAAATAACCATTCATTGCGTATATTTAAAAAATATCAGATTTGTACGGTGGCGCATCAGCTGTACGGTGACGACTCATTACTTGTGGGAAGTAATCTAAAGAACTCATTATTTACTTCAAATCGCATATAGTTTTGGTGTGGAAGTTCAAATGTTGATCCAATCAAGTATCCCTCGTATAAATGGCGTCAAACTGATCAGTATCAAGCGAAAGTTACTGCAGTCACCTTTGCATTTAAGATGGCGGAAAGGAAGTTTCGATTTCGATATTTAGTTTTCATTGAATTAAACTTCTTTATAGTTGGCATTATGCTTTGATGAACTAAATGAGACTAAGCTTATATGAAATGGAAACTTTGGAGTATGATCATTTGTACATATAAAGTGCATGTGCGCCACAGTTCAACGATATCTTCCACTGCTGAATGGAAGGTTACTACTGGAAATGTATGATACAGTAAAGATCATGAAACTAAAAACTCAGTATATTTGTTGCTATGTTGTTGATGCTTATGTGATGTCATAAGTAAATCTCATCTTGCATGTGTGACTTTTTAGGATGAAAGATGCAATATCTTGCATGGGGTAAAGATGGCTGCGGGCTATCTTTGTTAGTCATCTAAGAAAAGCCTGGTTTAGTTCAAATGATATCAAAGCATTACGTCAACTTTCAAAAAGTTAATTCCATGAAAACTAAAATTATCCAAATTAATACTTCCTGTCCACCATCTTAAATGCAATGGTGACGGCTGTAACCTTCGCTTGATACTTAGCAGTAATAATATACATGTAGATCTGACACTTCTTTACCTCTTGTTCGAACAGTAAGCTTAGAGTTGAATGTGTTTCAGTATTTAATCCTTGTTATCAGAAAGGAATGGAAACATAAGAATTGATCTTTTTTAATGTTGATCAATGGGATACAACATTTGAATTTCCACACAAAAACTTATGGAATCTTAAGTTAATACTGAGCTCATATATTACACTTCATAAATTCTAAGGAACCGTCACTGTAAACCAGGTGCGTCACCGTACAGATCTGATATTTTTTGAAATTAAGTCGCCATATTGAAAATCTTTCTCGAACAGAGCTACCGTGTTCCTAGGCATCAGACTATAAAATTTCAAAAAAATCCATTCACTGTTATTTGAGTTATCAAAGATTACATTTTTTTACAAAAATGGCTGCCATTTTGATATTTAACAGTCATTTTGAAAAACTCTTCTTCAGGTTAGTCTTCTTTTTCCATAGGCATCACCATATAAAATTTGAACCAAATCCATTCACTGGTATTTGAGTTATCAAAGATTACGTTTTTTACGAAAAATGGACATCATTTTGATATTTAGCAGCCATTTTGAAAATGTCTTCTCCGCGTAGCTCTTTTGTCCCTAGGCTACCCTAGGCATCAGCATGTAAGATTTGAACCAAATCCATCAACTAGTATTTGAGTTATCAAAGATTAAGTTTTTTATGAAAATTGGCGGCCATTTTGAACTAAGCAGCCATATTGAAAATTCCTTCTTGAGTAGAGGTTAAACCCCCATAAGGCATAAGCCTATAAAATTTGAATCAAATCCATCAACCAATATTTGAGTTATCACCCGGACATGCGGACGGACAGACGGACGGGTTTCCTATATCCCGAACTAGACATTGAAAGCTTATTCCTCAATTTTATCTCAAGCAATATAGAGAAAATCTTTTTTTTTCAAACTATATTGTTACCATTCAAAAGATGACCATTAATTTGATGTTGTGTAAAATTTTCAGAATTTTTTGATGACTGGTTTAAGAGAAACATGTGTTCAAAAAGATCACCATATCAATCCTTTCCAAAATTGTCACATGTTACATTTAAATTTTTAACTCATATTTTGATGATTTCATACAAACATTTACATTTAATGCCATAAGTAGTCTATTGTATTCCTTTTTGTTCAGTTTGCTTACTAGTCAGGATAAGTCACTTTCAGTTGTATCTACAGGGTGGGCCAAAAAAACGCCACTTTTTTTTCAAGACACTATAACTTTTTTATTTTTTAAACTACATATCCCAAATTTTGCAGTTATATAGTGCCAGGGGTTCTTAGTAATAATATCATGTAACAAATCCTTCAACTTGGATAATATTTGATCTAAAAGAGGAGTTCAATTGGTCCGCCACCCTATTTGATGATAGATTTTAGTTTTAGTCGCCTTGCTGATATAGCAGTATCAATGGAATGTTAGCTTAAATTTTTTCAACATGTCTTAATTGCCAGCTTTAGTTGAGCAATGTTTTAGATTGGGTGCCTTCATACCCCTCCTGGAGACCTTCCCATACCCTATACTCACTGGGGTTTGCATTAGGACTATTAGCTTGGCGGTCATCAGGCCATATGAGTTCAGGAACATTTTGCAAATTATGCCTATTTCTCATGGCACACCACATGTTTAAGTGAGACGCTGGTGACATATTTTATTCAAGTAAAAGTGTACAATTCATGATCCATGGCTAGATAACAACTTTAAGTTTCATTTGGTATGCAAATTATGATATTGAACCAAAAATTAAAAAAGTTATAGCATTTTGAAAAAAGTGGCATTTTTTGGCCCACCCTGTATATATCAGAATGACTCAATGAATTGAGTTCACCATATCGATACCAATCCTTTCCAGTTGTACCAAATGGCTACATACTTTTCAATAGCCTTGGTGGGATTTGGTATTCATAGTTTGTCAACACCAGGATGCATGCACACTAATACACTTATTGGTTCAGTAGTTCAGATATATTTTACTGCTATTGAGAGCCATGTAAACATTAAAGTTAAGACAACCTATTACCTCAATGCAGGCTATTAAACTCATAGAGCTCAGCAGACTTTAAATTGGACTACTAAGGAAAACAGGACTTCATTGCAATATTTCTGGTATGTAAGGTATATTATATATAAATAAAAATAACACCAAGAGATAAATCATGTATTTGCGATTGGGACTGATATTGGGAAAATCGCTATTACAACTTATAAGTGTAATCCTGCTAAAGAGGCCCTGTTTGGTGACTTGGGATGGAGGCCTATATGTAATGTCATAGAAAAAAGAAAAATTGACTATTTTATATACCTAAAGAGCTCACTTAAAGCAGGACTCCACAAAAATGTTTTCAATTATATGTTTGAGGACTTTAAAAAGGCCACCTGATCTTATTTTTCTAGCATTAAAGATATTTTGACCAACCATGGCTTAGACGATGTAATATACAGAGAGGACACAGATTGGTACTCGTCATATTTGAAAATATCTAATGATTTGTTATGCAATACATTTTTTGACTCGATAAACCAGAAAAAGTCACTTACAGTATGTAGTAACATTAAAAGAAACACGCTTATGGAAAAATACCTTAAAACTGATTTTGACTTCTATGCTCAAAAACTTAAATTCAAGGCCAGATCAGGATGCTTTGGTCTGGCCATTGATCTTGAGAGATGGGGTATAAGTGATGGAATGTGTTCTTTTTGTAATATGAGCTGTAAAGAAACTCCTGAACATCGATTTTTTACTTGCCCAAAGTTTAAAGAGGAAAGGTTTATATTTTATAATAGCATTGAGAATAGACTTCCACACATTTATATTTATTTCAAAACATGTATTCCCAATAATGGTTAAGAATGGATGCTTGGGGATGCTGCATATGCTATCTTGGGTCAAGAACAAGGTTATATTTTTGATGTATGCTCAAAGTATTTTATCAAAAACATATATGTAGCACCAACAAGTTATGTATTGCATATGTTTCAGTTTTGTTTTTATGTGCTATGTTGTAAATGTTTTTAGCTCTGCTTTAGAATTGTGCTTGTACACATGTATTGTATGTTTTAACTGCTGCACTAGTTTAACTATGTGCCACTGATCTAAAAGTGATTGCAATAAACTAAAAAAAAAAAGAAATACATGTAACATTAATATTCTCAGATGATTTTTGAGGCAGATACATTGCTTTTGATCATGGTATAAGGTCGTTATTCACCTGTCGGGATGATATGGAGAATATCCCTCGGATGATATAAATATTTCCCTCTGTCACTGTGCTCCCTCAAGAAACATTGATATCATCCTAGTGATATACCCCATATGAAATCCCTCCTGGTGAATAACTACATTGTATTAGGTTACATAACGTTGATAATCATTAACATTTGATATTAATAATCTACTATAAGACTATATAGTTCAGAATGATTATTGGCTTTTTGATAAGGAGAACATATATTGTATAGGGCTTCACATCTTTATACATACAAGCTGGTTTGGAATATAAAGAGAAAATTACAAGATGGAAAGCAAGGACACTGTAAAACTGACCACATTCCACAGGTCGAAGCATATCTGTAGCATTTCTCCATTTGGACTGAAGCTTGAGACTTGGATGAGGTTAGCTAAAATACCATATGAGGTGAGAACTAACATATCAAAGGATTTAAAGCAAGGAGTCAATAAATTGTGGATATAATAAATTTAAGCATGGATGTCTTGTAGCAGACTTTGAATGAGGGCAGGAGCCCAAATTCAAAGGCTAGCAAACAAGACAAGAGTGTATTTAAGCATCAAAAATTGATTTTTACGAATTATACTTTCAAAACATTTTACATTATTTACATAGAGATATACATATGACACTAAACTACTCATTGACATAAAACACTGAATGATGTCACTTCTTGTGTTGTAGACAGAATATGCATGGAGTCCGGGGGCCAACAAGCAGACTGGTCAGATCCCATTCATCACTTTCAATGGAGAACAAGTAGATGATTCTAATAACATCATCAGGTAGGGGATTAACAGGAAATAGTGAAACATCCAATTCTAAAAATGTAACCTTTTGATAGGCCTGGTATAGTATCTTGATCCATCAGGGTATTTCATAGATCATCTTGATCCATCAAGGTATTTCAAATTTTTATGAGTGAAGGAATACACTAGTTTAACAGTATGATGGTATAGTACTTTACCCGAATATTGCTAAGAAGCGAAACCAAAATATTAACACAATTTAGAGGATGCATATTGTGTAAACAATTTCATTAACATTTTTGTGTAGTTGCCAAAAAAATCTATGTGGAGACAGACACATAGGCATTTGTTATAGACACCAACCACAGAACACAAAATGCCAACTGCTGAACACAAAATGCCAACTGCTGAACACAAAATGCCAACTGCTGAACACAAAATGCCAACCACAGAACACAAAATGCCAACCACAGAACACAAAATGCCAACTGCTGAACACAAACTACAGAAAACCCATCGTGGTAATCCACGCCCTCTCCATCTCTATCCTTCTGGATCTGCGATGCAACAGAGAGAGATGCTATGAGTATCAGAATGCAGAAAACCATTTAAGACTATAACAATATGTCACCATTTCTTGTGGTGACAATAAGTTGAATTGATTCAATATGTTTTGCAGATATTTAAGCAAACAATTCGCTGTTAATACAGATGAAGATCTAACATCAGAACAATCACTGATATCACATACGTTTCAAAGAATGCTAGATGAACACACTAGCTGGTGAGTGTTAAAAAATCATTATTACTTTTTATTCTTATATCATGAGTGTTTATTTACTTACATGTATTTATTTACATGTATTTAGCAGGGTATTAACCTAATGATAATAGGTTAGAATCCCATTAGTGTCAATTTTTTATTTATTACTTCAATATACCTCTATAGGTATATGTTCCTAACATCTGTTTCAAAATAAGCCATCTTTATTGTATTATTGTTTCTGTTGTATGACTCGTATGACTATGTTCTTGTTACTAAGTTATTATGAGTACATAGAACATATTACAATACCATTTGAAAGGTGCAATCACCACATGTTTAAAACAGCAAGAACAGTAACGATCCACCCATTAGACAAAAGAAATTACATGTACATGAACCTAAGAGTTGGACATATTGAGTTATAGACCTCTATCAAAGACTGAATGCTGATGATGAAATAAGATATCCTTAGTATCTCAAAGTCAACAACTAACTATCAAGACCTTTCACCTAAAGGTAACTAAGTTCAAATTCTTGATATCAATGATTTTACTATCTTACATATTCACCCCGGATTAGCCTGACTACGGTAAAGTCAGATACCGTTGTCACAAATGGCGGACACAACCGTTGCTTCAATTAGATTTTCATGAACTGTATGTTTAATAGAGTACCTATACTAAATTCCTTTGGAACAACAATCAATCAAAGTGTCTTAATATTCATTGTACAGTTAATAATGTTCTACCATCGAAATAAAGTCTTTAATTTAACCGATCAAAATGAGATTCAGGACAACGGACACTGTAATTACCATATGCCGTTGTCTTTCTAAATTACTCAAATTCAAACGACGATAAAATCCCATAAAATGAGGACCAAGTGATTAAACAGTTGAAGCGACGGTTATGTCCGCCATTTGTGACAACGGTATCTGACTTTACCGTAGTCAGGCTATTCCGGTGTGATATTTAATCCTACCAGTGTTTAAGTTAAAATCAACAACTTTCTTATTGAACATATTGAGCCTGTCAGTGTTATAAATATATGTAATAAGGAACCTAGATGAATTTGGAAATAATTGCATCAATATCTATGAGATATTCTTTTTCTACAAGTTCACTCAGTCGCAGGAATTCAACAAATCAAACCAAACCCATAGAAATATTTTCTAATAAAAAAGTGGATACCCCTTTATACTTTGGAACCCTATTTCAATCATGGGGAAATGAAAAATAATGAAAAAGTCCATAATCCCTCTGAATACTGTATGCAGAATTTACTTTAACTCATTTACTTCTCAAACTTCATTTGTGGGGTGTTTAGTGAGTTATCTTATCATTTTAATTAAAAATCATACACATATGTACAGGGTGTCCCGAAAGCATGTCTCCCCCCTAGGTAGACATATTCCAGTGCCCTCATAGTATGTGTCATATATCATTTTAAAGCTTATCCAAAGTTACATTGATTTGCCAAGTATCATGGTTTAACTTCCAAATGGGGAAAAGTTACAGTCATTTTAAAAGTTAGTGTTTTGTCAAAATAAAGTTCAATTTTACTCCACATTGCTAGTCAATGAGTCCCCCCTTGGCCATGTTAACAGCAGCAATTATTTTCAGATATGACTTTAAAAGCCCTTCAAATAAGGAGTGGAATTTTCTAACCCTCTTAAAACCTGTTAAGGTACTTTAGAAGAGTTTCCCTAGAGTTTCTACCCTCATCGATCTCTTTTTCCAACTCAATATCCATCCGACCTGAAAAGAATTGCTGCTGTTAAGATGGCCTGGGAGGACACATTGACTAGTGATTTGGTGTAAATTCGAACTTAATTTTGACCAAACTAAATTTTGAAATGCCTGTAATTTTTACACATTTGAGAGTTGAACCGTTATACTTGGCGAATCAATGTAACTTTGGATAAGCTTTAAAATGATATATGATACATACTATGACGACACTGGTATATGTCTGCCTTAAGGGGGGCCCCATACTTTCGGGACACCCTGTATGTACATGATTGTTTCCTAATCAAGCAACAGTTTTTCAAGATAATAAAGATTTTGATATATTTCTCAAAGAACTTCAAATTGAACATTTCAAAATTCTTAAAAAGTAAAAAGTTGAACAAAAAAATTGTAGGTTACTCCTCTGATGTTTTGAAAGATGGTTCGTGGTTAATATACAGATTCACATGAGTTAAGAATTTAAAATCTGATAAGCGGTAATACATTTTGCTTAAAATCTAAAGATTGAAAGGAAATAGGTAACATAACATGAAACTGAAAGATTAAAGGTATCACAACAATAAAATAATTAAAAGACCAAGTGTAGTAACACGGAAATGTTGTAGGTCTATATTTAACTATCGCTACATTGACCACCCCGAGCAATTTGTAACACAACCAGAACTATTTCCTGTTCACTGGATGGTGAATTATATCCCTGGAAAGAACTACTTGCTTTCTAAAATGATGAGTAAACAGGTTGGTGCCAAAGCTTTCCTGTGTCATAAATCCTTGACTCTACTGTACCCTAAAAATCACCTTCAAATGCTTATTAATACCTCTAATATAAAAAATTATATGCCTTTCATGAAAAAAATCAGAAAAATATGTCGAATTCAATGAATGTTTTTTTCTGGAATTTTGATGACAAGACTTTTCTCAATATTCAAAATTGCAGCAATGTAATTAACAAAGTAAGAATGGCCAAAATATAGCACTTTTCAAGTGCTACAATAAATACATATATGAGTTTGTGTTTTTATTGACGTAATACATTAATAAGTGTTAAAAACAAAACAAAATGTTGATATTTTTTAGATTTTTTGTAAATCTCAACATTTTGTTTTGTTTTTATTGAGATATAAAATTCATGCAATTGTTTCAATGATGATGCATTCTACAAATGAACACCGTTTAAAGTTTTGTAAAATAAATACAGTACATGTATTACAAAAAAAAACTCTTAACTCTTAAGTAAGTTTTAGTTAAATCATATACATGTAAAGTAATTAATCGCTATCTTGATAACTCTTAAACAAATATTTCATTCTATGTTTGGGAAATACCCGTCGCACATTCAATGATTTTTACAGTATGTATTGTCTGCAGCCTCAGGGTGAGGGAAATACATGCTGTGTAAATCATTGAAAGTGCGACAGGTATTGCCAGAACATAGAATGAAATATTTGTTTTATTATATCATTGCTAGACATTTTCTATGATCACTTTGCATTTCGAAGAAATGTAAAATATTTGTTTTTGAGATTTTTTGTGAATCTCAACATTTTGTTTTGTTTTTATTGTGAACATTTATTTTAATCAATAAATATGGTAAATCCATTACAATAAGTATCATTGTTTGGTACACTTTTATTTTCGTCCAGTGCAGTTGTCAGAAATCCAGAGTGGGCAATACGTTTTTTATAATCCAAAAGTTAAGGAAGCTGTGGTGGTACTGAATCAGCCAATCAAATTACATGATTTCTAGCAATGATATAATAATAGTATTTATCTCCTTTATAGGTCTATTTTCTACTATCGTTATGTGGATGACCCTTTGACCTTTGTATCCAGCCCAGACATATTCCCATCTTTAAAAGCCCCACACTTTGCTAACAACCCCAATAAGGAAACAGTTTTGAGTGAGGCAATGAAAAAAATGGTATGTTTGCAATATAATAATTTTACTTTATTTAGTGTATGCGCATCCTCCTCCAACTATTTAACAACATAGTGATTTTTCCTTTTGTATGATTTGAAAGAGAATATATTTCCACTTAAACAAATAGCTCAATCTATTTATATTATATCTTGAAATCAGTCATATATATAGCATTCTTTATATTTTTAAAATAAACGACTGCTTGACATTGAAATAGAGTAGGAATGTCTAAGTAAGGGATGATTATTAAAAATGGCAATGTTTTGTAATCTATATTGAAGTTTGACACCAGAGCTAAGGCTCAAGGAATAGGCAGGAAACCAAAGGAAGAGATCTATCGTATTGGAATGGAAGATATTAGAGTCTTATCTGAATATCTGGGGGACAAGAAATATATGTTCGGGGATAAACCAACAAAAGTAAGAAACTGTATTTTTGATATATTGAAGAATTATACCAATTCTAGTAGGTTTAATATGTTGGAATTGTTTTGGTTTATATTGCAACACAATAAGGTGTGTCAAAGATTTACTTTCCCGTTATGTCAAAATCTGCTCGGAACTACACCGTTGGATTTCTAAGGGAAATTCCTCCAAGAGAATATTCTAGGGATTAAAGAACGTGTTTAGTTTACACAAATTGAGAAATTATTGGAATACATGAAACCTATTTAAAATAAAAAAGTATTTTTAATAATTTTCAAAAGTGTTGATTATCAATGATTCCTGCAGCCCTCTGAAGTTTGAAAATCCATAGATAATCCTTGAAAATGAGACAATTGTTTTTGGATTATATCTTATCGTCAATAAAATGTTCCAAAGTGTATTGATGTTTTTTAAAAGAAAAACAAGCGAAATGCACGACAAAAACTCCCCCGATTCATTCAACAAACAACTCGCGGTCCTTTCATTTATATCATTTTTTCAAACAGAATTCATTTATGATTAGCATGAACTTTGGTAACATTATTGAAACATCTTGTTTTTATACTATTAAGAAATCTAATAGGAGTTAGGCCTAATTGTTCTGTATTTTTTGGAAAGTTGCCATTATGTTTTCTCTTTATTTTTAGCTTGACTGTGGCATGTTCGGGCTACTATCTCAAGTAGTGTATGTGCCTATACCATCCTATCCACATAAGATTATGATTGAAGAGGAGTGCAGAAACCTTATTGATCACACAAACAGGATCAAAGAATTGCTATGGCCAGATTGGGACTCCCTCTGTGATACCAATAGTAACAGCAATGATACAAAGTAACAAAATACTAAGAGAGAGACAGTCCAACAACAAGATATTAACACAACTACAAGATATATGCTTTTTGTTTATACAGCCCCAAAACATTTATTGTCAATATACAGACCCAAAATATTTTAATACCTTCTAAATTTGGGCTGATTTATGAAAAGTAATTACCTACAATAAGGCCATGATGGATATGCAAATGCAATACATGTAAAATAAAATATTGGAACAAAAAGCTGTTTGTTATCCAGTATATCAAAGTCCAGGGTTCAATGAAGTGTGGACAATTTTAAGGTCTTCTATCGAGATGAGACTCTTAATGAGGGCAGTAGCCTGAATTCAAAGCCTTGCATACAAGAAATGAATACATTACATCACCCATAATTTATTGATTCATGTGTTTAAATTCTATATTGAATGATAACTGTATCAATGTCAATTTTTCCTAAATATTTGTTCCCAATCCCCTGCTGGGAAAATCCACTGCCAACATGCCCACTTTAGAAAATGTTAGGACATTTGTAATTTTGTAATTCTATGCGTCCTCATACTAAGCTAATAATATCTCAAAATAGTCTATAATGAATGAAGGAAATGATCACGCACCAGAGTTTTGTTTCGTCATTTTACTAACTAGCGATCCAATACTATTCTCTCCAATAACGATACATATCATTATTGTAAAAATATGTCGTTACTTTCGTTGCAAATAAGGCAAGAAAATTCCCATACATGAAATTCCCGGGCATTTTTGACTTCTCTCATATATGGGCGCTCTTTGTTATGGGTTACAATGGGAATTTCAATTTCAAAAATGCCCTGGGTGCTTTTTACGGCGAATACAGTAATTCTACTGCAGTTGCTTTGCTAAATATAAGTATAAGTAAGTAGAGAATTTACCTTGTCAGACTCAGCCTCGAAGAGATGTAGCTGAAAGCACTGCTCCAGTCTGAGTTTGCGCATGTGCCAAAAGTGAAGTAGATTCTGCCTAGTTGCCATGAGATTGTCCATCATCTGAGAGATTTGAGGTATGGCTGCATGGAAGTCACTGTTACCAGTCACCATTGGAGAAGGATTGCCTGAAATATAGGGAGAGATTTGAGGTATGGCTGCATGGAAGTCACTGTTACCAGTCACCATTGGAGAAGGATTGCCTGAAATATGAGGAGAGATTTGAGGTATGGCTGCATGGAAGTCACTGTTACCAGTCACCATTGGAGAAGGATTGCCTGAAATATGAGGAGAGATTTGAAGTATGGCTGCATGGAAGTCACTGTTACCAGTCACCATTGGAGAAGGATTGCCTGAAATATGAGGAGAGATTTGAGGTATGGCTGCATGGAAGTCACTGTTACCAGTCACCATTGGAGGATTGCCTGAAATATAGGGAGAGATTTGAGGTATGGCTGCATGGAAGTCACTGTTACCAGTCACCATTGGAGAAGGATATGAGGAGAGATTTGAGGTATAGCTGAATGGATTAAATGAGGTGAAAGACCTCCCATGTGGTAGTTTTACAGTATCTGTTATCTAAACTGAGTCCTTAGTTCAAAAATGTAGGTATTACTTTGTCATTTATGAGCTTCTCTTTACAAACTTTCTTTTTCCACATTAAATACCCATTTATCAGTGCATTCATTTGGGAATCCAAAATATCATAATAGTACACCTACCTGACGCTGTGTCTACAGAGACACCTATCTTTCTGAACATCTTGTTGCCCTCATTCAAAAGATCCTCAACCGGGGCCTGCCCTATGTGAATCTTCAATGTATTGTGTTGTTCCAGTAACTGAAATCCACATTAATTGATGATATCATAAATAAATTATATCAAATAATATGTATGCAATATGTGAACATCATTCAAACAAATATTTTTGCATGTGAGAAAATAGATGGCATCATAATCAAATCAGATATTTTTTATTTTACAATACTGTTTCAATGTTGAATGATTCAGTCAGACGAGGTTCTATGCTATAAAAATATCTCATGGTTTACTAAATTGCAGCAATTCAATGGAGTAATACAGCAAAACCTGTATATCTGAACACCCGGCTCATCCTAACACCTCCCAATCTGAATAAATTTAGCTGGCCAGTCCCAATGGTGTTCATATTAGACAGGTTCTACTGTTTAAATTGGGTTTAAGTTTTTTACCATTTTAGCTCCATCTGTGCTATCAGGGAGATCAGGATCTGTAAGAATGTCCTTCAGTCTTCCCATACTCTGTAGCAAGTCTAGAGATTTAGCCATAAAGTCCTCCAACAGCTGAAACATATATAAGCCTTAGGGTTATGTACTGGAAGGTTTTGGGTATAGGGTTTATCCCAAGGGAAATATGTGTGTCTCCCGAGGGCCCAAAGGCACAGTAGTATAAAACACACTGTAGACTCCAAATAATGTACACAACACAACGACATATATAATTATTTTTATACATCTTTATTTATTGACGGATTTATTAATCAGTGGTACATTCAAAACATTGACTGCACACCAGGGGAGGGATTATATTTATAAAATTCATGTAAACAGTAGAATTAAACAAAAGTAATAATAACAATCTTAGTTTCATACTGGGTTTCATAACAATTTTATTTTAATTGATATCTACTCAAAACCAATAATAAGCATGGTACTTGTACTTTGTAAAACTTTACAAATATGATTTGAAAGTTTCATTCAGAACCCCTGTTAAGAATGACTTCTTATTGAATGCAGGATATTCTTTTGAGTTAATTCTTTTTTCATTATTTCAAATGCTCAGAACTTTTATATAAAGGTGATACCTGAAGTATTAATATACATGTAGATATTGATGCCGGTTCTATATTCCCAAAGATTGCTTCTTATTTAAGGCCAGGAAAAATAGTCTTATTTCTTGGTTCTAGTCAGGTTGCAGAGTATTGAGTTTGATAGGTAGAATATGTATAATGTAATATGTAACTTCACTTATTACACAATTCAACATATCCATGTACACAATTTACAGGTATATGTATACTCACCAGTCTTAGCTCAATCCATTCTTCATGGCTATATTGCAAATATCCCTCAAAATCAAAAGTCAATTGCGAGCGGTCAATACATTTATGTAGTGAATCTAATGAGATCATCTGGGTCTGAAAAAAGAACAAATGTCAAATCATGAATTATGCAATGCTTGAACATTTACTGTTTTAAAGTGAGGGTGACTGTTTTTATGTCATTTCTAAAGTGGATATCTTGATTGGTCATTGGAAATCCATGCATCTGATTGGCCAATTTCAGTCATGGGACTGACAGGGATGAGACAATCCTAAATGGGATTTCTCAAATACAGGTCTCAAGTTTTTCTGATTATACTATGACAGCCTGTTGCTTCTGTATGCAAATGTACCAAATAATGTTCAAGCTGACATGAGACTTTTTACCATAGTTATTTACAGTAACTCATAACTATTTACATAAAGATTTTGAGTTGTGCTAAAAATAAGCTTTAAACAGACTGAGGTCATAATTTATATATAAGACTATTTATTTTTACTTTACTTGTAGATATGATTCCACAATATGAATGGTTACAGTATAGGTTACTACAAAATGACAAACTTACTTCAAACTTGTACTTTGCACTCCCCAGACTTGTGCGTTGTTTTTCCCAGAATTTCTCCGGCTTTATGATATGAGCTATTTCGATCTTACAAGTGAAGTAATCCTACAACACAAAATGTCAAAACAGTGAAGAAAAAGGGAAAACAATAGTTGATGCAAATCACGCAAAAAGACCAGAGGATCCATAATCTAGCTCTGTATAGACATTACATAATAAGAATTGCAAAATCAGGGAAATTTATAACACTGTGCAACAGACTGTATATAGACCTACCTGTATAGCTTTAAGTAATGGTTTCACGTTAGCCCATGTTGAGCCACGCATGTCTATAATGATAGTAAAGCCCAGTTCCCTAACATCATCACTGAAATAACATCAACAAATTAGCTGATAATGTTTGTAAACAAACCAATTTCCAACAAGAGATAGATTGAAATCATATACCTAAACATTGTTCACTTCTGAGCCTTGCTCTCAACATATCATAATTGAAGGCCATTCTGATTTATCAGAGTCCCTTTTTATATAATGTTTGAGCCCAATGTTTGACCCCAGTGTTTGAGAGGACTCCAAGGGATAGAATAGGCTGTTAATTCCAGAATGATTGAAAGTAACTTTTAAGAGACACACATGGGTAAAACATCAATTTGAAGTTTTTTTATTTTTCGATTCCCACAATGTTAAACAACACATATTGGGCTACTTAAACTCACCTAGGTATACTAGCTAGATATATAAGCAATAGTCTGAGATCCTCAATAGCCATCTTATCCCTCTGAGAATGGCTTGGAAATGTCAGTATTGGTCCACCTCTCCTGTCACGCCCACCTGTAAACAACAATATAATAGTCATGATCTTCCCTTGATTTATTGGAATGTTAATCATGTTACATTGATAAAAAGGTATGCACAGTTAAACCCATACATCCAAACACTTCTCTATTCAGAATGCCTCTCAATGTGAACACTTTTCATATTGACTCACATATTAGAAACCTTGAAATGCGATCACCCCTGCAGGCTAATCTGAACACTTTTAGCTGATCATAGTGACATTCGAATGAGACTGGTTTAACTGTAGCTAAAATACAAAGAATATTGCCAAGCCTTTGTTTACTATTAATTAAACTGTTTGTTTTCATTTTTGATATGTATTTCCAAATAAAAGACCCCCATCATAAAATCTGGCCATGCTCATTCTTGTAATAAATACATAGCAATAAATTGTGTTGAATGTTTTCACCTGAATACTAATGATTTTGTTTGCAGAGCAGGTGAACCTACTAGGGCTATGAAAGATGGAAATGCTATGAGAGATATAAATAGGTATGGGAGTCGGGAATAGGAATGAGAGGAGAAAATAGGAATGAGAGGAGAAAATAGGAATGAGAGATAGGAATAGGTATGACAGATGGGAAAATGTATGAAAAGTGGGAAAAGCTATTAGAGCTGGAGTTAAGTATCAACAATGGGAATAGGTATAAGAGGGAAGAATGTGTATAAGAGTAGATATTAGAGGTTGGAATACCTCTGAGAATAGAATGTTGTATATGTCACAAAAAGTTGGAGACAATAACCAAATGTCATCACTTTTGGTGGAGACAATAACTAAAAGAAGTATCAAAA